CCCTTTGGGCCTTAATTATAACAGATTAATATACAATTCAAAGCTATGATTCGCTGATTTGCTCGTCCGAAATATTCAATATAAAATTACATTTGCTTATTGAATTGTCTAAAATTAATTAATTAATTTGAGTTCAATTAATAGTACAATATTATTTCAATATTCATAATATATGTAAACACAAAAATACCTAAAAAAAAAATAAAATAAATTTACACATCCAAGTTCACACAAATTAGGTACTAATTTGATTGATATATTTTTTTTTTTAATATTTTCTTTTTACAAACTGTTATGATAAAATTAATATTATATTTATAATTCTCAACTTGTGTTTACGTAATTTCTCGTCAATTTCAATTCTTTTTTATTTAATTTATATGTTTTATACATTTATTTTAAGAGACGAAACTTTGGAACTCTGATGTAAGCAAGATTAAAAATACAAAATATATGGAAAACATAATATTATAATGATTTGAATCATTTAAAAAAATCTCAGTGTTAAAAACTGTTGTGTTATTGACAAAAATAATGAAAATTTATTGCAATTTATTAATAACTTTGAAATATAATTTTGTTAAATGTAACGAAATTTGAAAATTACAAAAATCTGTAAAATTTGCTAAAAAAAAATAATAAGAAAATGTAATTTAATAACAAAACAGTACGATTTTCATGCTTTTTGAAATATTGCAAAATAATTAAAACTATTTGAAAATAATTACATTTTTATTAATTTTGTCATATATGAAGAATAAAATATTGAAATTTAAAAACTAATAAAAAAAAATTTATGAAAATTGAAGAAAAAAATGTAATTTAATAACAATCATTACGATTGTAATGAATTTTTGAAATATTGCAAAGTAATTAAAACTATTTGAAAATATTTACTTATTTATTAATTTTATGATATGTGAACAATGATATATTGAAATTTAAATACTAATAAAAAAATATGGTGAAAATTGAAGAAAATAAAAGGAATTTAATAACAAAACATTACGGTTTTTTGAAATATTGCAAAATATTTGAAAATAATTACATTTTTATTAATTTTGTGATATGTGAAGAATAAAATACTGAAATTTAAAAACTAATAAAAAAAAATATTGTGAAAATTGAAGAAAAAATGTAATTTTATATCTAAACAAAACTTTTTCATTGTCTTTTGAAATATGAAATTTATTAACAAATCAATTAAATTTTAAATATTCCAAAGTAATTAATATTAATAATATATTAAAAATTAATAATATTTCAAATAATTACATCTAAATATGCATTATTAGTTTAAAATAACAGTCCTAAAAATTGTTAAATAACATTTAAAAAAATGTAGTGAAAATGTATTTACAATTTGATAACAAACTATATTAACCGCAATGATATTGAATAAATCACGTGCAATAGGTTAAAGCTTGAAACGTGATATTACTTTCAGGTATTACTCAATAAACGTTACCCAGACCACGCATTACTCAGTAGCGCGTGCTGAATTACTGATATTTAACAGCAACGATAAGTATTACTTATAATTTTTGTATGCATAAGTTACCTAATCTTGATTATGCAAAGGAAAAAATAAAAAAATAAAACGAGAAATACATAACATACAATTTATGTATGCACTTTCTGTCCTCTCTTAATTAATTAATCATCAATCAACTATATTAAAACGTTAACGTTTTACTACAATTTCACGTACTTTTACATACAAATAATTGCATAAACCCTTCTAATTATTTTAAATTTTCTATCATATATCCCATTTTAACCATATTATATCAATAACATTAAAACAGAATTATTTAAATTTTGAGGGTTGAAAAATTTTACTCCCTACGTTCCATAATAAATGTCCAATTTTAGTTTTTGATTGCAGTTAACATTGTTAGCACATCAGCAACTTCACCGTTTATAATTACTAATTTGTTAAAAGTTACTCATAAGTGTTTTCCATTTTATATTATAGTTCAGTCTGAAAATACACGTTATAAAACCGCTGAAATTGAACACTTATTTTGGAAAGAAGAGAGTATTTTATATTTGATAAAGTAATAAAATGTGGTTGACGTAAATCCATATACTTTATAAAAAAAAAGATCAAATAAATCCGTCGAAAATTTCTAAATTAAAATGTACGATTTTAAAGGAAGATCTGCGGAAAATGGTAAATAAACACTTTGGATTTTGGCCAAGAGATTACAAAACACCGTCGTCCCGTTGAATCGCATCTCGGCGATCTAAATTTACCGAAATCATTGCCATTAAAGCAAAAGACATAATACGTAACATTTTGATGTAATTCAACTTGAATGCGGATGATGTTATTCGAATTTCAAGGAACGAAATACAGGTATGCAATTTACTCTCACATTTCTTCGGCTTAATCTTATTTTATGCTTTACCAGGGTGAATATATTTATATATTTATACATATACATGTTTGTTTGTTCTTTTTTTGTATATTCATCCCTCTCCATTTCAAATGCGTCACAGCACAAAGGGCACTCGCGTGTTTCGACTAGGTAAGGGTAGTTTGCAGGGGCGTAATTCATTTCGCTCTCTTCTGCATAGAAGTGTACGACTAATGAGGCACATTGAAATTCGGAATGCCGCCTCTTCCCGTGGACCGAATACGGCGCGAAAAAGTTTATCTGATTTAAGTATACTTAAATTGGATCTAATTTGATGTTTGTCTGCGACGGGTTGAGGATTTACATTTTGTATTATTTTTACTACATAACTTCCAGAAATTACAGCCTAATAAAGTTTTATTTCTTGCAATAACAGTTTTGTCCTATAACGATAGTACAGAATCAGAAAAGTCGAAAATTGTATTTTTTGCCTAAAAAAAATTAACAATTTTCTATTATCAAACTTGAAGAAAAGTAGAATAAGACAATTATTAAAGTCAATTGTTGAGTGAATAAAGTCTATAAAATATTTTTATATTGTCTCATTTAGTAAATAAAACTATTATAATTTATTTATTATTTGATATCTAATAAATATAAAAATTTATGGAATATAATTAAGCTAAAATCAACCACCAAAAAACTCTTAATAGAAAAACCATAAGCAAATGCAAGCAAAAAAAATAATTGCGGAAGGACCTCTTAATTAAACATTCCTGCTTTGTTCGAATACAATGTAATCCCTGGTCCCTTTAGGGATCCTCAGGTAAGCGTTAAAAAGGTCGGCACACCAAAATCCCCTGGACATTACTCCAACTCATTTACTAAAGCATTCAATTCCGGAATAGAAAAAAATATGAAAAATTTTCATTATTAATTATTCAATTATTATACAACAATTAATCAAAACATCCCGTAAACAAATGAATTCTATTGTTAAGGTTCCATTTATTATAAAAGTATACTTGATTTTATACAGGTAGACCTCGTTTAGCGCTTATTCGATATAACATTGTCCACTCAATATCTAAAAACGTTTCAACATTACATATGTCAATATGACTTTGTTTAACGTTGTTTCGCTAAACGAGGTTTTACTGTACGATTAAACAGAAATTTCTAATATCCCAATGTTATTTTTTGATTGTAATAAATAATACTTTTTTTATACTTATAATAAAATAAACTTCGTATATTGCAATGAATCATAGTGTAACATTGTAGCATTTATATATCGATGACCTATTTATTTCTGCTGCTGAGGAATATGGGATTTTCGATCCAATCCAATCGTGAATTATATGAAAACAGTTCCATTTCAATTCAAATGTCGATGTAAAACTGCGGCTTTGCATGCAAAAAAAAACGTCGCAATATTCAAATGACCTTTAATGCATTTTTGTTACAATCAAACATAAATAATACATTTTATTTTAACTAGTTATGTTTATATGTAAACAAGTAATAAACAATTATTATTATTATATTGATAGTTTTATAATATTTACATTGGGATAGGAAAATGAAGTTAATTGGAATTTAGGATTAAAATCAAATTCATAATTTGAACAAGATTGAACTTTTTTTAGGTATGATCTTGGGTATGTGTTTATGATAAGAAATAAAATAAACGTTTATTCATGGTTACTCAATCCACAAGTTGAGACCTTTATTCAGATAGTAAAACATACATCTATTGCTCCTCGCGTAATAGAATGGCGTCGAGAATTTTCGGCCAATAATATAAAATTATCCAATTCGTATGTAAATAAAGTGCGGTTGAGATTCCAATCATTATCAACGAGTTGTATTTCAAGAAAAAATACATAATGCGTCGCAAGTGGACAAATGTAGGGAAAAAAATTTAAACAAAGTTATTTGATTGAAAGTTGAAACAAAAAAAAAATTGTTACACTACTCACATACACAGGATTACAAATCAAAACACTCGTAGTTATTACAATTATTAGTGGATTATTAGTTACAACTATAGTATAAATTATATCTTAACTTAAATGTTTAATTTATGAACTATGCTAATCCCGGCGAATTCCAATGGGCATTAATGAATTCAATCGGCTGTAAATGCAATGCAAGTGAAATGTTTGTCATTGAGTTAATAAAAGCGAAAATGATTCAATCGGATTCGAAAAAGAGAAACGAAAGCGAAAACGATTGAATCAAAATCAAACTATAGAATACGTGAATTTTCAAGTGCGCTCCTCTCGGCGCGCGTAAATTTTTAAATCTGTCATCCAATTAACACAATAAAGAGGTGCAAAGTAAATGAATTAAGAAAAAGTTGTTGAAAGTGGCTTACTTTTAGAGAGAGAAAAAAAAATTAACTCCGCTACTCACGGTGCGTGTCTGGGTCCTTAATTGCGGCAATTATGTAATTACAATGTTATTATCGTGCCGAGAGGACAGCGACTTGAGGGATTGAAAGGTTGTTAAGTTTGTTATTTGGCACTAGTTGTTTAGGGACGCGCGCGTTTCCTAGGCAACGTCAGTTTGGCGCCAAAAAACGTGCGATTTTAATGGGGGTGGTAGGCGGAATTTGTAACGGCGATTTTTTACCTTGTCCGGTTTTGCATATATTTGATGATGGTCGAAGCGTTTATTTTTTTTTTTTATTAAATTTACGTGCGTTTGTTTGATGTCACTTAAACTTTTTGTTGAGTACTACTGAAGGGTGTAAGTACGAGTACCGGCGGCGCGTTTGAAGCACTGGAGTTGCTCGAAGCTTGCGACCTAAGCTACAGGACTGAACTGAGGAAACGCATGGATCGTGGTGCTGGTGAGCGGCAGTCGGGTAAGAGCACGCACGCGCCCTTCGTCTCCACTAAATATGGATTTTTATCATTTATAGGTAAATTTATGCAGCCAGGTACAATACTCACATACCTAAAGGGTATTAATAGACAGGGCCGTCCTCGATGCACATTGTTTTCCAATCCTGGACACACACAGAGAGATGTAGGTAGGTGGCTTTGGATGAAGAAGACAGGAGACGCGAGTACAAGTGTTGTCCCTGCTGGATCTGCGAACGGAAAGCCCATAACTCGTCCCCCGATCATAAACTTCTCCTGGGCTTAATCCGCGCTTCCGTTTTATATTGAGAAGCCATTATTTATCCTCTGGCCCTTGACGGAATTAAACAAAAACCTGGGAATGATTTATAAATCCCTGTTTTTTTTTTCACCTATCCGAAACTCACCTCGCCTCGACATAATTCCCTTCGATTTAAATCAACATCCGATCCATATATATACACTTTTTTTTTGCTTCATTTTATTATTTTTTTTTAATTAAATCAAAACACTCGCCCGAAGGTACAGCTTTCGCGCACAAAAGAGGCCTTTTTTCCCATTGAAAGTTCGCTAATAAAGGGCGCAACTTTTCCGTGCGCCTCGCGAAACTTCGGCCCGGGGTGTTCAGAAGAACAGCTTTGAATACTTGATGTCGCCCGAACAAAACATTAATTTATAGTTCAATTTAACACCGACCAAATAGACGATTAATTAAAACAAACGCGAAACACGCGCGCGGCGACAATTCACAAATTCGCCGCGTTTCATTCATAATCATAACTACCGTTCGACCAAAAAACCTTCAAAATCACAGAAAATGAATCAACTTTTATTAAACAATTTTTGTGATTTACGCAATCACTCACAACGCTTTTATCGAATCTTTTAATTGCAAATTAATTACAACAAAATGACTTGTCAACGGTTGTCATGGATATTGCTTATCCAAGTTTGTTTTTGCGACACTTCCATTTTCATGACACTCTTAGCAAAAAATTTAATATGCATATCTAAATTCGTAAAATTAAATTTATATTTATTAATTTAAAAAAAAAATAATTTTTGTGAAAAAATGTTTAAATCAATAAAATTTTATTTTTTTTTAAATTAGATAAAAAATAGCATTAAAATAATTTAATAATTTTGTGACTACTTTTACTACAAATTTATGTGAAAAATAAATGAATAATTTGTATTCCTTGTGACATTTCAAATTTGTCAACACTTCTACTAAAACTTTTCAATTGTATTGGATTTTTTTATGAATTAAACAAATTGTCAGTAACATTCGTAGAAGATTTTCTTAAGTAAACATTTGGTAAATTATGAAACAATAACATTGAAAACGATTATTGTTATTTATAATGAGAGTATTTTTGTAGTTTCAAAGTCGTTAATTTTTTTTCTAAAAAGTAATTATTTGTTTATAAAGCAAAATATTCGTTACAGAAACGATAATTTTGTGAAAATAGCTTAACAATTGGCAATTATAATGCAAACATTTTTTTTTTTTAAATTATGCCATTAGCAGACAATTTAGCAAACTATTTACAAGACTTCTGCTTGTGACATTTCAAATTTGACAACACTTTTACTGTTTAATTATCTTTTAACATATTGTTTAAATCAATCAAACTTTTCTTAGTAACATATACAAATTCATATAACATTTTAAGTAAAATTTAGCAAATTATGTAAAAAATAGCATTGAAATAAATTAATGTATAAAACTAATAATTTGAGGGAAACAATAATTTCTAGAGAAATGATACATTTTTTTTTATAAAAAGGTATTTTTAGTCCATAAAACAACAAAATTCCAAATATTGTTACGGGAATTTACAACAAAAAAATAGCATTGAAAATTTCATAAAGTTTTAGTTACATACAACAACAAAATTCCTATAATTCTTACGGAAATTTACAATAAAAAATATTTTATAAAAATAGCAATTGTTATCAGTTAAAAATAAGCTATCTTTTTTTCATGAAAAGTAATTATTTGTTTTGCATAAAAATCGTTTACGAAAATACAGTAATTGGCAATTATTATGCATGAATCTATGTTTTTTAATACAAGCTTAAAAATAATGTTGAAAAAAGTAAAATTTACAAAATATTATTCGTTATTTCTTCAAATAAACCGATGAAATTAACAGCGTTTAAATTAAATTCCTATAAAATAGGTATAACCCAAAGGTAATAATACTGAACAAATGTTGCAAAGGAGGCAAATGTGCAGAGGATACGAATGAGTCATTCATGTTGGCCATGGAACTGTATATTGAGAGCGGTAAAATAGGGGAAAGGTAAAGGGAAAGAATGGGGGATGGGATTCGGTTAGGGATTGTAAAATGTATACTACACTAGAGCCTTGAGTCCCATGAAAAATATTTTAGGTTCAGCATTTCGTACCGGGGATTTAAGTTTATTGGGTTTCTTGTTTTTTCATGCAAAAGGTTACTTTTTCTTGAAAATAAGTTGAAATGTACATGTGTTGTTTTTTTTAAGAAATTTATTGCAACATTATTTTATAATTTTCAATTGAATTTAAAACAAAATTATCACAAAAACCGATAGAAAAAATAATGTTAAGTAATCAAAAATATTTTTAAAGTGGATACATTGAAACTTCGCATAGATGCTGCTTCAATTAGTACGTATTCACTATAGTACGGTTTAAAAATTTCAAAACAAACTAAATATTAATTGAACAAAATAATAATAAATTTAAAAAAATATAAATAAATAATTGATTTGTTTCTCTTATATTGTGCTTTTTATTTGTATGCAGATTAAAAGTCCTCGATTAGTACGGTTTTAAACAGTGCGGAATATTCTAACCGTTAATACACTATTGCTTTATTTATAATGTAACCTTTCTTCATGATTTTTGTACATTTATAAATTATTTAAAGAAATCAATAATAAATAGAAAATTATGAATTGTGAAGAGAGTATAAAAATTGAAATACAATAAAACGTCGAACAGTGCTGCTTCAATCAGTGCGGATTAACTATACTACGGTTTAGTAATTTCAAAACCAAAAACATTTTAATTGAACAAAATAATAATTTAAAAAAGAATAAATACATAAAAGATAGATTTGGCTCTTCTATGACGCCAGTTTGTGCTGTTTATTTTCATGCGGTTTTAAAGTCCTCAATTAGTCCTGTTTCAAACAGTGCGGAATATTCTAACCGTTACCACACACTGTTCGAGGTATTGCTATAATCGTAATGTATCATTCTATCATGATTTTTCTACAATTATAAATAATTGGAAGAAACCAATAATTTCAAAAAAATCTTCAATCTTCTTTCAATCAGTGTGAATTCATTTCAATTAAATAAAACAAAAAGAAATTTTTAAAAAATACTGTTTGAAAGTCTTCGATTAGTCCGGTTTAAAATAGTGCGGAATATTCTAATCGTTTATACACATTATTTGGTATATTGCTGTTTTTGTAATGTAATCATTTCAACATGGTTATTGTACAATTATAAATAATTTAAAGAAAATAATAATTTCAAAAGAATCAAAATAAGTAAATAACTGGAACATTATGAATTGTGAAGAAAGTATAAAAATTGAAACCTAAAACCTAACACAGTACGGATTCACTACAGTACGGTTTGACAATTTTAAAATGTTTTAATGAACAAAATAATAATAAATTAAAAAAAAAATACATAAATGATCGATTTGTTTCTTTTATGCTGACAAATTGTGTTGTTTAAAAGTCCTCGATTAGTCCGGTTTCAAACAGAGCGGAATATTCTAACCGTTTATACCCATTATTTGAGATCTTGATAAATAATTTAAAGAAATCAATAATTTCAAAAGAATCAAAATAAGCAAATAAATGGAAAATTATGAATTGTGAAGAGAGTATAAAAATTGAAATACACCAACCTATACAGTGCTGCTATATAGTAATAAATTAAATAAAATATATTTTCTTATATGCTGCCGTCAGTTTGTGCTCTTTATTTTTATGAAGTAGTTCTTCATGATTTCTTTTATTATTTAAAAAAAAAAACTAGAACTATAATAATAATTATTCTATTCTTTTGTGTAAATAATTGTTTGATTATAATCCATTATTTATTAATGTATTTGCATTAACGATCGATGTGAATGCGATCGTTTTATATGATTATTATTGTTATTCTACGATAAATGTCATTATTTTCGAATTGAAACCATCCGCTGCAACAATGGAAAACGTTACATACCAATCATCAGATGCGTGGTAGATTAGAAAGGTTTAGAAAGACGTAGATTTGCAGAGCGTTTACCGTACACGAAATAAATGCATGTAGGTAAAACACCATTAAATGTTGGATGTATCGTGCTAATCGAGATCCGATCCAGGATACGGTACAACTGACTCGATTAGAAGCAATACCGAAACCTACTAACATACTATTTCGGTTTATTTTCGCAGCTCGATCATCCTTTGAAGAACTAGATTAAAACTGTTATGATTTCATCCAAAAATAACATTTATAAAAAAGTAAAATATATTTACACAAATTGAAACTATTGCAGTAGAACAAATAAACTTATTTCAACTTTCAATTAATTATATATATATTGATATTTATTATGCGATTTTTAATTGGAAATCCTCGTCACGACATTAAATCAAAGGTCAACGCAATTATTTTCACTTTTCGGTGTACTTTTTCATGTTGTACTCAAAACTCAAGGTTTTTTATTCACAATAAAATCTCCCATAAATGAAATTAATAAGAAAGGAAAGAGAAAAACTTTGAAATTATTAAATTCATCTAAATCACCTATAAATTAGTAAATAATTAGTATTAAATATAAATTAGACAAATTCTTTAGAATGGAATTTCATAAATAATATTAAAACTTTTAACCTTTATTGCCCAAATGTAACCAATAAATGTGTTTAAATATAAATAAAATCTGTGCTCAATTTCATGTTTTATTTGTGTACTAAATTTCACTAAAATTTTGTTTTTTTTGTTAATAAATATTTTGGAAAAAGTACATTTCATGTTGTTTTATAAAAAATTACTGCATTTTTACTTGTAAAGACAATCAACGAAAATAATGAATGAAATACTTCTGGGACAATTAAATGAAATGTCTTTCACTAGTGTTAATGGACTAATTTCAAGTGAAATTGAATGTATATTAGATTTCTTAAACTATTTGTATAAGATATTTTTGACATCTTACTATATAGTTAAGCAGTATAGTTGATCGATGGACATCTTCATTCTTGATTAATTAATTTTCACAATTTATAGAACATTTGTGTTTGACTTATTGTGTTTTTTTCATTTGTGTTTTAATTCCTCAATGGAAATTAATTATTTAATGTATTTCAGTTGCATTTAGTTTGTGCCTTACCTATAACTAAAACATTTTTTTGTTAATGTACAGAATTTAGATTTTTGTTTAAATTATGGATTCTTCTTGTCATTTTTATTTATTTACAAATTTGTATTAGACCTAATTTGGGCATTTTTTTCAGACTATTCACTGAATTATGAAGTAATTTTGATCTTCGGTTGATTGAGAATTCATAATTTAGTTGATTTTTTGGTGTACTTTTTTATGTTGTACTCAAAATTCGAGGGTTTTTTCATTCACAACATGATCTTCCATAAATTAAATGAATAAGAGATTCTTCTTGTCATTTTTATTTATTTACAAATTTGTATTAGACCTAATTTGGGCATTTTTTTCATACTATTCACTGAATTATGAAGTAATTTTGATCTTCGGTTGATTGAGAATTCATAATTTAGTTGATTTTTTGGTGTACTTTTTTATGTTGTACTCAAAATTCGAGGGTTTTTTCATTCACAACATGATCTTCCATAAATTAAATGAATAAGAAAATAAAGAGGAAGAAAAAAAACTTAAAATTTTTTAAGTTCATCAAAATCACCTTTGAAAATTAATTACAATAACTAAATTTTACTAAAATATTGTATTTTGTTTTAAAGTAAATTTTATGTTGTTTTATAAAAAAATACTGCATTTTTACCGGCAAAGACAATCGACGAGAATAACTCATACAGCACACCTTTGTCATCAAGGAGATTTTGTACCGTTATTCAAATCAATATGCAGTGTTTTTATTGATTCGTTTTGAAAGATGTGTTTAGTACATTTATAAATAACTCGCATTGCAAATGATAAAGTCCTTAAATCCTTGTTGAAACTCGCAACAAATCATCATTAAAAAATTATAAATTTTAATTGACAAGAATAAAAGATATTTAAACTATGTCGGGCGTCTCAACTGAAAACAAACTCTCCGTCTACAAGGCAGTCATAAAACCGATTTTGGAGATCTTCACTGCGTGGAACTCTAGCATAGACATCATCCAGAGATTTCAGTCAAAAACGTTGAGGCAATTGACCTGGTTCACAACCAATAACTCTATCCATCAGTCCACTGGTATCACCTACGTTAAAGAAGAGATTTCAAAAGCCAGCACCAGATATCGTCTTCAGCTGGAGGATCATCCGAATCAACTTACTGTAGAGCTGAGCAACATGGCAATCTACGTAGACTGAAACCATTTCAACCGCAAGATTTCCCTACTCGTTTCTGATGTAATGTGATGTACTTTGTCTTTTACTTGTTTATATTTTATCAGTGTAGTTTGGTCATTGGATCAATCTGCAATATTATTTATTTCATTTATATTTAGCCAGAATTAAAGCTTATTATAGTAGTTGATTGCTTGTTGTAAATAATAAAATAAAGAATTATGTCAACTAAATTATGAATTCTCATTCAACCAAAGATCAAAATTACAGAATACAAAAATATGACCCAAATTAGGTCTAATACAAATTTGTAAATAAATATAAAAATAACAACAATAATCCATTGTTTTATTTATAGGAAAGGATTTAATCCTATGTATTCGATTATACGTTTAATTTATAATTGAAATTACTAAATACAAAGGATTAATTCATTTGTTAACAATCGTTTTCAAGCAATTAAATTACTTGTTAATGATAAAATCCGCAATTGCACAAACTGAATGCAACTGAAATACATTAAATGATGAATTTCCATTAAGGAATTAAAACACAAACAAACAAACAAAAAACACAATAATCGTTTCCAATAAGCTCTAAACAATTATAAAAAGGAATAAATTTATGTGTTTCATTGATTCCTTTCAATAAATCAACCACAAATAGTATAGATTGTGAAAATTAATTAATACTTCAAGAATGAAAACGTCCATCCATCATACGTTGCTTAACTACATAGTAAGAGATCAAAAATATCTTATACAAATTGATTAAGAAATGTAATAAATTTTTACATAATCCAATCTCTTGCTTAAAGCAATCATTAAAAATAGTAAATTGATTGTAACATTCAATTTCACTTGGAATTAATCCATTAACTCTGATGAAAAAGACATTTCCTTTAATTGTTCCCAAAGTATTTCATCTATTATAAGCTGGCAAATCTTTTGAAATAATTTTTATATTTTATTTTTTTTAGGAAATTGTGCAATAATTTCGATTTATGTTTATTTTTGATAATTGTATAATTTTTTATTAATACATAATCACCCTTAATTAATTTAATTATTGTCGAGTTTCAAATAGTAATCAATAGACAAGCTAGAGGTGTATATAAAGTTGCCTACGTGTCAAATTAAAAATATATTAGTTTTAGTCGTTTGTATCACAAAATCTGGCATAATTCTAATCAAAATGGGTATTAATTAATAAAATATAATACTCTTATACGATTTATTTCCCTAAATACCATACATTCTTCACTAGCGTTTGATTATATAATAATGGCATTGAATATAAGTATTGGCTTAAGTTAATAACAAAAATATATAAAAATCAAACTAAATCTCTTTGCACCAAATTTATTGCGTTTGTTCACAAGTAAATAAATTAATATTGCTATAATGGATTTTTACTATTCCAAACGAAAACTCAGCCTCCTACTAATACTATAGAGAATCATAAAAAATATAAATGTCAAGTGGTTATTAAGAAAACCACGAGGAAAAGTATCCCTTCTTGGAATCCGGCGTCTTTGGAGGAGATTCTACAGACAACGCTTGAGTTTGCGAGGAATCCCCCTGTCCCAACTCTTTGGCTTCAATGGCAGAATCAGCTTCATCAGCATTCTGTATCTTAATATTGGTTTCCTTCTGCAACTTACTCTCGTACTCTTTGACATCATCATAACTCATATCCACCCACGAATCAATCCATGCAAAAGCTTGTCTGTGTCCCAGCAACAGTACTTCACGAATGCACTGAAACAAAAAACAATTGCAAATTTGATACTAAGCTTGTTGCTTTATGAAAGAAAAACACACGCTATGCACGAAATCCTCGACTTTGGTTTGAAGCCCCCAAACTTCGAAATACGCGCTGACTAGTTTATACGAGCACATGATTGGAGTGTGCGTGTTCCGCCAACCTTCGACCAAAGGACCGCGATGGGTCTTTGTGCTTTGGAAGAATCTAGGATCTTCCTCCTCTTTGTAATGTCTAGCGCTGACCTCGTCATAAGCAATATCGACATGTTCAACCAACCTTTCAGCTAATTGCTCAGCGGTTAAATTTAAACACTGCAAATAAATTAACGCAATTAATGGCGTAATGAAGCAACACGAGCGACGATAAAACTTACATTATCAGTAGAGCCGTTATTATTTTCATATCTCGTTTTAATTTCTATATGGAACTTTGGAAGAAAAGAGCACTGAAAATAACGTAATGTTAATTTTAATAAATTACTTTTTGATAATTTTAAACTCACTGTGTATTCAGTTATGGTAAAAGGGTAATAATTCCAGGCCTTCTCTGTAATGTAAAATATTTTTGGTATAATGCTCTGAATCCAATAAGGAAGTCGGCTGAAATTTTTAAAGAAACATTAATCAATTTACAATTTTTTTGTAATGTATAAAAACCTTGATAAATGGATCCTCTTCTCAGTGTAATGCCCCTGTCCATGTTCAGGGTCTTCACATTTACGATTCTCGACCACTTCAACACCTTCACCATCACCTGACTGCTCCAAGCTGTGCCTCGCAATCATATACAATTGTCCAATTTGATACTGTTATTGCACCAACAACAAAAAAACATGATTTTAAAGTAATGATTGCTAATAATAAAGTGAAGTTTAAATATAATCAATACTTTACCTCCTCCACGCTTATGGGCATGCATATCCGATATTCCTTCGTCAAAACCATTACAGAATGATTCGAATGTTAAACAGTTCTACAACAGTTCAAAAATCAACAATTTACTTCTATTTTTTTTTTTTCTTTCTATCAATACACTTTTTGACGCACCAAACAACTGTCAAATGCGCACGTGTAAACAAGTCGTTGCCAACTCTAAGAAAACTATAATTGATAATCATTCATTAAATAGACGACATCGATTTGTAAAAGCTATTGTGTCGTAGTACAACTGTGATTTCGAGAAAAAAACATACATACATAATAGTTAAAAAATTGAATTGTTCTGGTTATAATTGGTAATTCTAACGTGTGATTATTATTTAATAGGCTTATTAACGTTTGTGTTTTCAATATCAAACGTTTAATTGACATCAGATTGTATTGTTTTAGAAAAATTACCTCAGACTTTGATTATTTTTGAACTTCGCGTTGTTAAAATTGGTTTGTCATTGAGTGCATCAGTCAACTGTCAACTGCTGTCAAGTAACATCTGATGTGGCCAAAAAACTGAACAATTTGTTAACAACATGTTATGATAGTGAAATTTTGGCATATTTACATAAAGGTGAAAGTGCATAGTTTACAGTCATGGCCTATCAGTCCTTCTTAAATGAGTATATGAAGATACCTTTGGTTACAAGGGTCTATACCACTGCGTGTGTTGTCACTAGTCTTCTTGTTGTAAGTCCATGTTAACAATAGAAAATATAAATTGATCATTACAGTCTCTCCTTTTTTGTTTCAGCAATTGGATTTAGTTACACCATTCCAATTATATTACAATTACATGCTGGTGTGGAAACATGGGCAGTACCATAGATTCATCACAACCTTCCTCTTCTTTGGATCGTTTGGATTCAATTTTTTCTTCAATATGATATTTACATACAGATATTGCCGTATGCTGGAGGAAGGCTCTTTTAGGTCGAGGACAGCCGACTTTGTCATGATGTTTTTTATTGGTGGCATCAGCATGATTGTATCCTTTACAACTGAACTAATTTTAAATTTTTACGTTTAACATTCCTTAATTGATTTCTTTAGCTCTTTGCATTTTTCGTCGATTTACTATTCCTTGGACAAGCCTTTACCATAATGCTCGTATATGTTTGGTCAAGACGAAACCCATTTGTCAGGATGAATTTCTTTGGCATTATTAATTTCCATGTAAGTTTTTTTATCTCATATACACCTATCCCCCGATTTACATGGTAGATAGGTTCCTGAGAAAAACGTTTAATTCGAATTTGTAACTTTTTGAATGTAAAATCATAAAAATGGAAAAATATGCAAAAAGGCATAGGATAGGTTATTTCCAATTTTTTTTAATCCGTGTAAAAGTGAAAACGTGTAAAGAAAGTACCGTGTAAAACGAGCGATAGGTTAAATCTACAAGATTTAATATATTTTTATGTGTATTTCACATAATAAAAACAAGTTTAATCACAAATTTAAGAAGAAAGAGTTGAAATAAAAAAAATATTTATTATAAATATTTAAAAGTAATGGTATAAAATAGCTATTTATAAAAATTCCAAGAAATATATATAAAGAACAGCAATTAAAAAATGTTTTCAGTTAAAATTTGGGTGATGTTGATTTAGAAGACTTGAATGCTTTAAATTGACACGCAAAAATCTACGCTTTTTCCATTCAATTTAAGTTTTGTTTGGTGAAATTGTATTGAATTCATTCTATAAGTTGATACAAATATATATTTCATTTTCGTGTATAAATAAGTTCGAAATATTTCTGCAAAAGGTTTATTTTTATACTTACTTAATGCTGAAGATAGGTAAACTTTAAGTAGTCTTGATTGTATAAAATATTATCATGTTTTTGCTGAAAGGATATAGTTTTTATTTTAATATATTTCGCCAAAATATCTTGAGAGATTGCCAAATAAATATAAAAAAACAACAGTTGCCAGTTTCTTCAGCCAAAATCGTTAGAGGATACAATTTGTTTGTTCTTTTAATATTTAATTTGAAAATATACTGAAATTCTGACATCATTCCTACGAAAAGTGTAAAAAACGTCTTAAATTTTTTAATGAACATAAAAAAAATTGTCTTGCCAGATTCTTAAGCCAAATCTTTAGATTGTAATATTTGTTTGTTATTGAATTTGAAAAATGACATGAAGTTCTGATATTCCTATGAAAAGTGTAAATATTTGAATAAACACAAATAAAATTGTGTTCTCAGATTCTTAAATCAATATCTTTAGATGATAAAATTAGTTTGTCCTTTTATTATTTAATTCCTCAAATTCTGACATCTGAAAAGTGTAAAAACGTCTTAAAAAAATTGAATGGACGTAAGAAAATGTGTTAGCAGGTTCTTAAGCCAAAATCTTTAGATCAAACAACTTATTTGTCCTTTTATTATTTAATTTGAAAATAATCTGAAATTTTGAAATAATTCTTCTGAAAAGCGTTGAACACGTCCTAAAAATTTTAATGGACTTAAAAAGAATGTATTGCCAAATTCTTAAGCCAAAATCTTTAGAGGTTTGTTCTTGTATCTAATTTGAAAATATACTGAAATGTTGACATCATTCCTCTGAAAAGTGTAAAAACGTCTTGAATATGAATATAGAAAAATGTGTTGCCAGATTCTTAAGCCAAAATCTAAATGTTTAGATTATAAAATTAGTTTGTCCTTTTATTATTTAATTTGAAAAAAAAACTGAAATTCTAACATCATCTCTCTGAAAAGCGTTAAACATCTCTTCAAAACTGAAATTCTAACATCCCTCTGAAAAGTGTAAAAACGTCTTAAATATTTTAATGAACATAAATAAAATTGTGTTCTCAGATTCTTAAACCAATATCTTTAGAGGATACAATTTGTTTGTACTTTTATTATTTAATTTTTTAAAAAATCATGAAATTCTGGCATCATCTCACTGAAAAGTGTAAAAACGTCTTACATTTTTTAATGAAGATGAAGAAAATTGAGTTGCCACGTTCTAAAGCCAAAATCTAAATCTTTAGATGATAAAATAAGTTTGTCTTTTTATTATTGAATTTGAAAAAAGACCTGAAATTCTGACAAAAGTGTAAAAACTTCTTAAATATTTCAATGAACATATAAAAAATATTTTGCCAGATTCTTAAGCCAAATTCTAAATCTTTAGATGATACAATTTGTTTGTTCTTTTATTATTGAATTTGAAAAAAGTCCAATTCTAAAATCCCTCTGAAAAAAGTAAATATTTGAATGAACACAAATAAAATTGTGTTCTCAGATTCTTAAACCAATATCTTTAAATGATAAAATTTGTTTGTACTATTATTTAATTTGAAAAAAAAAAACCTGAAATTCTGACATCATTCCTCTGAAAAGTGTAACAAAAGTGTCTTCAAAATTTTAATGAACATTAAAATAAAATTGTGTTTATTTTCAGGCACCTTATTTACCATGGGTGTTATTCGGATTTTCGCTGCTCTTGGGTAATCCAGTATACGTAGATCTAATGGGAATTGCCGTCGGTCACATCTACTATTTCCTAGAAGATGTTTTCCCCAATCAACCTGGCGGATTCCGCATCTTGAGAACCCCCCAATTCTTGTAAGTTAACCACCTACAAAAACAAAAATCACCGAAAAAAAAATGACTGGATTGTTGTTGCAGGAAATACTTGTTGGACGGACAACAAAACCAACCCGAATACGTAATGATGGAGGAGGATCGGCCGGGCGGTTTCGAATGGGGAAACGAGAGACCAAATAATGAAAACAATGTTGAAAATTGATGAAAAAAAAATACATCAACATGTGTTATATATGAGAGAATGCGAGTGTCTTGTAATACAAATACAAGTAACCAGTAAAAAGAGATTATTATATAATTTTTTTTCCTGGTTTTCTTTTTAGACCGTTTTTTTTTTTAAAATTAATATATATTTATTTTAATCATTCCCATCTTTATTGTTGATAGTTTTCAACGGTTTTGAAAACTGTCCGATTTATATGTTAGATAATAATAATAGTTTGAATCATTCTTACATTGCAGCTGCCTGGTTCTTTGGATGTGATGTTTTTTTATTTAATTAACGTCCGACTTTCAATAGGAACACCCTGTATATGAATTTCTATGTATATTTTAAATTGTATTGCTTAGGTGACCATTTATATATTGTAAATATACTTAAGAAACTTGCTCTTTTTAGTTTATTACTAGAACAAAAGGAATTTATAGAAGCATTAAAATCCGAGGTAATTTGCAAAAAATTCCGAGAAACAAACTACATTTTTATTATGGTTTAAGCGCAGTTCGTGATAGGAAACGGGTTTAATTAGAACACAGGTATTGTTCACTCGATAAAAAATGCATCGCGTTTTTTTATTACGAATAGGTAATAAACATAAAACTTCATAAACAAATACGAGTAAAAAGGAAATAATAGATGATAATTGTTTGGTTTTATTGAAAAACTAAAGCTCATTACGAATTTCACACCTAAATGTTAGGTTTCAATATCAAATTTTACATTTGGTTTAACAAAGATCACTATGGAATTTACACGCACAAAGAAAAAACTAAACATTTTCCCAGTTATCCACGTCGATGCAAACAATCAAATTTCGTGTTGAACATACAGAATTCGGTTGCACCTTTTATATTTTGACCTGTAAAAAAGCTACATCAAATATTGACAAAACTTTTTGCCGATTTATCAGCGGAATTGACGTATTTGTTATGTAACTAAATGCACGTTAAGGCAGTTCAACGTTGTTAAATTTCTCGCAAAGAAACATTAAATAATCACAAACATTTATATGTATATCAAAAAAAAATACATAAAGTTAATTGCCGTTTGATATATAGAGAAAACAGATTACAGAAATCGCAAACTCCGATTGATTTGTTATTACATAATGTGAAGAAATCCATTTGATTTTTATAGAAAGTACAGTATTTTCTGACGATCCCTGCGCACAGAATCAACCGATATTATTAACTAAAAATTATTTTTTTTATTCAAATCCCTGTAAACTTTGAATTATATTTTGGTTATATCAAATACTCTAGTATATACAATAAATAAAACTTAAGTAAAGCGAAACTAAAAGTATAAAAACAATTGTTTTTAAAATTATATTTTCTTTTACAAACTTTAAATTTGTAGCAGCTTTTAAATTACTGGAAATTATAGCATTTTTTTTTTAAATAATTATTTTCAACATAATTCTATTAAAATATTGTCATAATTAAATTTAGATCTTCATTCGTGTTTAGTATAAAAGGATTTTTTTTTTCAAGGTAAAAAATATTGATGTTTTTTGATTTCCAATGTTTAATGTTCATTTTAACAAACAGTTAACTTATTTTTTTTTTGTAAAATTTCATTGCAATTATACACACAGCCCTCGTTTTAAGTTGAAGGTTTAAAACCAATATTTTTCCAAATCCAACTTTCAACTTGTTTCAGAAACAAAAATAAACAGAAAATATCGCTAATAACTTAAAGAAAATATATACAAATTAAAATTATTTTTTGTTGATAGGATAATCACAAAGCACTGTACTTATTATTACATAATAAGAGAACAATTTTGGAGTGTTTTAGTACATAAATGTGTAAATTTAACAGTTGCACCATTTTTAGCTAAATATATATATTTGTACAAATATATATTTTTTTCTTTTTCTTATAAGAAATGGAAGCAAACTGTTTGTATACATGGCACAAATTGTCTGAGAATAAAATTGCCCTATTTTTTTATATAAAATAGGATTCGTCAGTCTGTGGGTGAAATTGTTTTAAGCAAATTACCTAAGTATAATAATAATAATAAGTTAAGAGGATTTGTCCCTTCGTACATAATATCCGAGATTAAATAAATTAAGTTAATTTTCTAAATCTTATATACATGTACAGTACAGTTTACACCTGAATCGTTCGTAAGATGATAATAGATAATAAAGAAACAAAACGGAGCAAAAGAAAAAATACTAAACCGGATTTAAAGTGAATAAAATTGATATTTAAAAAAAATGCATCCATTCGCTAATAACAAAAAGGTAATTTCACAACCACAGTATCGATTTATATGTAATTACATATATAATACGACTTATGTTAATTCGATCTGCACGACATTCATCTTCTTCTGAAAGTGTTCATAATACAAGTGTGCAGGATCGTTTGCGCGCTTCAAATAAATACACTGTACATTAAAATAGACGAGAAATGAATTAGTAGAACAGTATTAGGTAAACTCTAATGTACGTATTGATGACTAAATTCACCCAGAGTGTGTGGTTTCTGTTGCAGCACTTACACAAGACATATAATATCAAAAATGATTCAACGTCCTCTTGAAATGTAAACTTTTCATTAAATCGCCACCGTCGCTAGAATCACCGTGATGTCATCCGGTTTTCCACCTACGAAAACAAAACAATTAGATCTCAGTTGCACGTTGATAAAAATTGCATTTAATTACCTATTGTGTTGATACCATTAGCAAACGCGCTTTCTGCGAAAGGCGATATGAAAGTCTCGTCGAACGAAAGATTTCGTGCCATCCAGGCTATAGAGTTAGCCACCGTTTGCAGCCGTGTCGCGCATCTCTCACCTTGAACCTGAGAAACAAACAAATAAATCTATTTTTATTAAAAGAATTACTATAAGGCATGTGATTTCTCTTCGTTGGCGAGAGGCCAAATCGAATCGTTTTCATAACAGTTGCACCGTGATGCAACTTGCATATTAATCGCGCTCACCTTTTGAAGTTCGTTCACGAGCAATTTATGCGGTAGATTATCAAATACTCCATCAGTTGCAAGCAATATGACATCGCCGTCTTCAACGGGGAAGTTTTCAGTCATAGCGGTGTCAGGTTGGTCTGAGAGGACGTCCGCTTGGTAGCCTGGGGGCGGCAGTGATAGTTGAAACGGTGTGTTGAAGTAATGCTGCTGCTCATCTGATTTGTGGATCACTTTGCCATGCCTCATCACCATAAAACCGCTGTCACCGATATTGGCAGTGTATAATGTACTATTTTCTTTGTTTAATATTACTACACATGCTGTGCTGCTGCCTGGGAATAATAAAGAAATTTATTTAAATACACTTTCTCTCAATTTGTTTTTGTTGTTTACCTAAAATTGGCTTCTTGTGGTGTAGCAGCTCATAGTAACTTCTAGCTAATAAATCGGAAGGGTTATTTGGTATGAACTTTCCCAGCTTGACAAGCCTCTCACAAGTCCTCATTAGATGTAAGGAGAATTCTCCAGGATCTATCCCATACGCTCTCCAACCCCCGACGCCGTCTGCGACACCTGATTGAAGAAGGAATACAAACATTAGATCATTGATGCATATAATGTGTGGTTGATGACTAACCTAGAATGTCTGCGTTTTTGGTCTTGCTGGTGAACCAGGCGTCGTCTCCGAATTGTCCGTGAACTAACCTCTCGATCTTCTTGTCCTTCGAGAAACCGCAGACCGCGCTGACCAGCTGCGGGTCCGCTCTCTTCTGCAGAGCTGGGTCCACCGTGGACGAGGAGATGTTAGCAATGCCATTCCAGATAGCGCGCGACAGAAGTCTGCCAGTTAACCAAAGCGAGTGCATTATATAATGCGTACTATTTCAATGCAGTTTTGATCGAAACGGGGATTACCCTTCTGTTCTTTCGGGGAGTGTTCCTCACTCGAGCGCGGTGCACCACATTTTCCGCGGACCCCACGCGTACTCTACAGCCGCGTGATCTCTGGGCTTTTGTTTTTGTTATTTTGCTTCCTTCACAGCACGCTGACGTTCTTAGCTCTACCTTGACGTAGGAAGAATTGCCGCATACCAGGCCTGTGCGCACACTGGGGCGCACCGAAAGCACATGACTTCAATCTATACTCTGGATACAATTGCACTTTACAATCCTCTGAAAACGAAAATAGACTTATAACCCAGTTTTTCATATATAGTTACTAATCTAATTATACATCCAAGATGTTTACTACGATCACACCTTATGTCTTTACTTAAGTCCAATTGGATTGATAACACATGACTGGTCTAAAGAGGGGTGATAAAATGTAAACAGATCGTAAGGTATATGACCAAACATACACCTTCTTTCTAAGTATCATTATTACAACAGTGCTACTCAATCTACATTTCTCACAATCACAAGAAAAAAATATCATGGACAAAAAAAAATGTTTAAAAAACTCTTTAATTTCTTTTATAAAATATTACAAACAATCTTCCTTTTTTTTTGCAGATATACTCTTGGATAATATTAATTAAAATACTTCCTAATAAGTAAAGACTTTAGTAAACGCAAAATGATCTTTTTTTGAGTAGTTACGAAAACAAACTTCTACTGGAGACCTTGAAGTCTCTTATCAATATTGTAATATTAATAAATCATAACAAGCAATCAATCAAGGAAAACTACAGCAAATTCTCTATTTATAGTTGTCAAATTAAATTAACTTGTTATTTCTATAATATATACAAAACATGTTTATTTATTACAATTGAAAATGCTCGTAGTAACGAATTAATTAGTATTTCACTTGAGTTATGATTATTGTGTTAAATCTGTGTAATATTTAAATTTGTGACTACAATAAATAATCTCAATTTTACTAGTTTTCTAACTTTTCTGTATTCATCAAAATACTAAAATTATAATTTATCAACTTATTTATAAAACTAATGTATTTTGTATGTATGTTACACGATTAGAAATATGCTAATTGCCAATTCAACAGGTATCATGTTGGTAACGTCGAGAATAACAGCGTTTAGCGTTCGTTAATACATGCTAAACGTAAGGACAATATTGGTTTTGGGTTATGCTGATTTAGCAATGCAAGTCACAATCTGCATTGACTATGAAACAAACAAAAAATAAATGCAGTTTCATTAATCACAATCGTACGATTTGAATTTGTTTGTTTATTTTATAGTTGCAGTAATTTTTATCAATATTCTACAGTGAACCGTTTCAATCTCATTCGTTATTTAAGTTAGAACTTTCAGCAAAAGTTTAGAGAAAAACTTGATGAGTTGTGATGAGTTCTCGTAATCAACAGTCTTATAAAATGTAATTACAGATTAACTCGAAAACTGTACAACTTTTATATTTACTTCTGTATAAAGTGTCTTCAATTACGCATCTTTTGTTGTATTTCATGTTACGTAATGTTAATTAATGTCTGAGATATGTAATTTTTATCAATATTCTACAGTGAACCGTTTCAATCTCATTCGTAATTTAAGTTAGAACTTTCAGAGAAAGTTTAGAGAAAAACTTGATGAGTTGTGATTAAAATGATGTTGAAAACGACTTTTATTTAAAGAACAATGTTTTCAATTGAAAATTGTTATAATATTCAATATTCAAATAAAGATTTCAGAATTCAATTGATAAATTTGGAAAGAAGAGATATTATTTTATCTAAATCACTTTGAAATGTTTATATTAATTAGAAATATGATTTAAGTATTTAAGATTGAAATTATGATTTTCGAGAAGCGTTGCGATTGATTTGATAATAAAGATGTTGCTTAATTGAATATGATAAATATTTACATCAAGAATAGAAAATAATGCAATTGGTAAAAGTCGAACGCGTCATTGACCTTCGTGCGATACGATGGTGCGACAATTTGCGCAAACAGCGATCACGAAATTCGAGAAGTTCATGATTGTAACTTACTCCGACAAGTCGATATAGAAAGTAATAACAATAATAAACGTACTTATCACAACACTCCGATCGAATTTCTTAGTTTGTGCGGAAGCAACGATCGTAACTAATCACGTGACTGGAGCGCAATTAGAATGAGCATTGCGAACGCGAAGATTTCCAACTGACATTTATCATTGGATGCAATTCGATTTGGTCTCATCCCCACCGAATCGAACCCAATAATCGCAAATAATCGCACTTTTCTCTATAACATTTCTTTTTAATAATATCAATATTTTTACGTTAACGAATCAATCTTCTCGCGTGTACATTTTGTTGATCGCGAAAACAGAAGTTTGTTTTCATCTCGGATCAAAAACTGCCGAAATCGTGCACATTTTTTCCATTCCCGATTCGCTTTCGGCGAACGTCCAAAGTCCGGTTCATCACAATAATCAAATATATTACGATTCGGTTTACATATGGAACGATGCACGTCGATGATTATGATGATGATGACTTCATTCGATTTTGCCCGAAACTCGTTTCACATAAAAAACTGACCACAGATTTATTGAGAGTCGCTGATTGAACAAATTGCCTCGATTGTCGCAATCAATGCGACGACGATGACGGTGACGCAACGTCCATTGTTTTTCCAGATTCGATTCTTCTGTTCGACCTTTGGCCGGATCGTCGATCTCCGGATTCGCATTTTTCACCGACAAACAACGTCTACGAAAAGTGTAATTTTTACTGGACTTTATCTCAGACCCAAACTTTTTTTTCACTTTCTTTTATATAATTATTTGCAATATTCTCGAATAACAAAACGAGATGAATTTGAAATTCGCACATTATAAGCTTTCTTATCGTAGCATTACAACTTTCCTTTATTTTTCCTATAAATTTCAATTTCATTTTCGCAAAGTGTGCGTTTTGAATTTGGACAGCTACCAAAACAAATGACGATTACATCAGAGAAGATGCAATATCCGTGGTAAATAGACGTGATTCCTATAAACATTGTTTAAAAAAATAACTTATTTCGTCTCTCTAATTGATAAACAAAGATTTTGTTTATGATTCTATTTATATTTCGAAATATTTCTTTATTACTTCAAAGTTTATTTACAATTTTACTATAAACTGACGTTAATTTGTAAACAGTATTCTTTTGTAAAAGAAATTATCAACAGTTTTTGAAATACTTCAAATATAAAATTGTAAATATAAATCGAAATTCTAGCAGTTTTTCCGAGGATTTTCAACAATTTCAATTGTTAACTATCTCTATTTACAGTAAAGTAACACATTTTATGTATACATTTATTTAAAATAATTTATTAACTTTTTGTATATTGTTTTTACATTAATTGCAAGTAATTATTTTAATAAATTTTAATTTGTAAAAAAATAAATTAGTTATAATTAAAAAAAAGGTAATTATCTTTTTTTTCTTAGCAACGAATACGAAATGTTTTTGTATCTTATTTCACAAGAATTTTCGTAATTTTACGATGTTTTCTCACTTATTTTTATGTTTTTTTTTATATTAAACATTCAATAGCATTATTTGCGCTCATTTGCATCAATGTTCTATACAAAAATAAGTATAAACAAAAATAACCGGTTACTGCAAATTTTCATTGTCTTTAAGAAACGTTTTCCGATTAAAAACTTAAAGTATTTACAGTGTATTTTCTGTACATATGAAACCAAATAAGTAATTTGAAATCGATTTGTTTTGGTTTGATTCCAGTTAATTTCATTAGAGAGAACAAAAAAAAGTAATGGAATTAAATCTAAACGTGTAAAGGAATAATAGCTATTCACTTATGTACATTCTGAAGGTTAGTGTATATCATCAGCAGCAAATCAAATTAAAATCGCATTGCTTCTCCTTTATTTCACCGCGCGTTTCCTTTATTTTTTTCTGTTGCATTTAAAATCGAAAATTACATAATCTGTAGAGTTTCGAGTGAGTTTGCGTGCGAACGTTCAAGATCAGGAACACATTTTTTGATTCCTACAATTATCAAATTTTTGGTGAGTATAATTATGTAGATGTAAAGTGAAAGGATAATAATAATAGTAAGATAAAATTATCAAGTTCAGCTTAGATTTTTGTCTATTATATAATATGCATGTAGTGAAGTGTTATTGAAACAACGAGACTCCAATGGACTTAATTGGGAATAAAACTCGCTGGAAATGTACGGAGACTTTGGTACATTTGATCGATTGGATTGAAAAGTTCAATTCCGACGCAATCCTAAGTGATAGCATGTTTATGGGAGCTATTCTTTTAGAATCCAATTGCATTTTGTTGGTAAAGGTTATCTTTCAAATTCATGATTCATTCATTAAATATTATATGTGAATACAATACATTTTTGGGTTCAATTTATACATAAACAAATCACATATTTAACTTTACCAAAATTTGTTAAATTATTTATAAATTTTGCGTTTTATTAAACTTTCAATTTTTTTTTTGATAAATATATAAAAGAACATTTAACTCTTATTTTTTTGGTATATAAATCAGTAAGTAATAATAATTAATTTCAGAATGTTTCCAAATCTAACATTATAAAACTTTCGAATATTACATAAACGTCTTCATAATGTGTCTTGAATTGCGCACCTTTTGTTATAATTCATGTTACGTAATGTTCATTATTGTCCGAGATATGCAGATATTTCAAACATTTTTCACGTCTTCACATTATATGTAATTACTCAATAACAACGTATGCTAATTGGATCATCAAATGTTCTAATTAAAAATAAAATATGAGATTTATGGTTTTGCTGTTTTACTGTAATAAGCTATCAAAATTTGGGATTTTTCACAATTTTTCTTGAATGCTTTTTTGTAATCACCAGTCTTATAAAATGTAATTACAGATTAACTAGAAAACTGTACAACTTTTATAATTACTTCAGTATAAAGTGTCTTCAATTACGCATATTTTGTTGTATTTCATGTTACGTAATGTTAATTAATGTCTGAGATATGCTGATTTTTCAAACATTTTTCACGTCTTCACATTATATTTAACAACGCGTGCTAAATGGATCATCGAATGTTCAAATTAAAGATAAAATTATGGCATTTACAAGCTTTTTCGTAATGACCAGTCTTATAAAATGTAATTACAGATTAAGTCGAAAACTGTACAACTTTTATAATTACTTCAGTATAAAGTGTCTTCAATTACGCATCTTCTGTTATATTTCATATTACGTAATGTTAATTAATGTCTGAGATATGCCGATTTTTCAAACATTTTTCACGTCTTCACATTATATATAATTACTTGATAACAACACTTGCTAATTGGATTATCGAATGTTCAAATTAAAGATAAAATCATGGCATTTACAATGAGATAGCCAGGAGATTTATGGTGTTTGTTGTTTTCCTGTAATAAGCTATCCAAATTTGGGATTTTTTACAATTTTTTTTAAAGGTTTTTCGTATTCACCAGTCTTATAAAATGTAATTACAGAATAACTCGAAAACTGTACAATTTTTATAATTACATCAGTATAAAGTGTCTTCAATTATGCATATTTTATTATATTTCATGTTACGTAATGTCTGAGATATGCCGATTTTTCAAACATTTTTCACGTCTTCACATTATATTTAATTATTCGATAACAACACTTGCTAATTGGATCATCGAATGTTCAAATTAAAGATAAAATTATGGCCTTTACAATGAGATAAGTAAGAGATTTATAGTGTTTGCTGTTTTCCTGAAATAAGCTATCAAAATTTGGTCTTTTTCACAAATTTTTTTAAAGCTGTTTCGTAATCAACAGTCTTGTAAAATATTTATTTTTTACAGATTAAAATGAAAACTGTACAAATTTTATTATTACTCCAGAAACGGTTTTCTTGTGCGCATATTTTGATATAACTGCTGTTGTATAATATTAATTAATAACAGAGTTATGGCGATTATTTAATTACTCGATAACAAAGTAATCTAATTGGATTATCTAATAGAGATATTAAATATAAAATTATGGTCTTTACAATAAGAGAACTAAGAGATTTATAGTTTTTGCTATTTTCCTGTAATAATCTATCAAAATTTGGCATTTTTCAAAATATTTTTCACCAGTCTTGTAAAATATGTTTTCTTTCATAACTTGAATACTTTACAACTTTTATAATTACATCAGAAGTTATTATCTACTGAATATCTTTTGATATAATTGTTGTTATATAATATTAATTGGTGAATGAACAATTAAAAAAAAACACGTTTTCACGTTTTATTTAATTACTCAATAACAACGTAAGCTAATTGGAGCGTCGAATGTTCAAATTAAAGATAAAATTATGGTCTTTACACTGGATCTCTTATAAAATTTGTGGTTTTTACCGTTATTGAAAAATTAATTGGCAAACTTGAAAATGCATTCATTGAAAAAGTAAAATTACAAAACGTGATCGAAATATATACTAGGAAGATACAATTTGTGCAATATGAATGATGCATTCATTCCACGTTTGTATTGAATAGAAAGTGTGTAAATTCAAAGCGAGATGCGTTTGCAATATCGATATAATACAAAAAAAAAACGCAAACAAATAAACCATAAAAATAAAACTAGTGGCACGAGTTCTGTGATTACAAAAAAATACAGGTGGGTGAGGAAGGAAATAGTGTCCGCGTGTGTGAGTGTGTAACGACTTCCGTCATGTAATGAATGGATCGGAAGTTGTCAGGTGGAGGGGCTTGAAAATAATTACAGGTACTCGCACGGCAATCCACGATTGATTTGTTTACTTAGTTTTTGAACAGTTTTCGGTACGAACGCTCCGTTTTTTTTTTGTATTATATATTTCAATTTCTTGTGCTTCTTACATTCACATACAATTTCCGCACGTTGCTTCGTTCAATTGCACAAAGGCCAAGGAAATTCGTAATTAAACATTCAAAGAATCAAAGAAGCGAATTCGATTGATTTATATATAGACAAAAACAAGCCAATAACGTATCGATTAGACTGATAAAAAATTCATCTCAATTCGCCGACACTAAGTGGGCACAGAATCTGGAAAAGTAGACTGTTCATCATTCAGTTTTCGGACGTCCAAGTAAGTTTCCTTCAATCGTTGCACAACGAAACTGAAGCAGTCATAAATTTCAGAAGAAAGAAAAAAAAAACATTTCGTTTAATTACAAATATAAATATTGGTAAGTTTTGTTCCGAAACGCTCATTAATTGCACAAAACAGTTTCGTGTAATTGCATACAAATACATTAAGTTGAACCAAGGTCGATGTTTCGCAATTCCGATAATCTAGTGTGTGTGAAACTAAAAACGTTTGTATTTTGTTTATTTAGCCATGCGTTGATGATGTTGAAGTCGAATAGCAAGCGGAAATCCGGAAGGAAGTTGGAGGAATTGCTGCTTCCAGGTAGCAGATTGAAGTTCAGCTCGCAGCAATTGCAAAACTTGAATTTGGTTTTCGAGAAGCGTTTGTTGGAGCCTTTGTGCACAAAAGAAATTGGTACTGTTTTCGTTATTGCTTCTTCTCTATCTATTGAATTTTTATTTTTATTTTTTGCTTATAGAAAGTAATATAATTTTGGCTAGGAGCGTAACTGAGAGGCTTATACAAAGATTGGTGTGCGGAGCCGGTACGATCGATGAGAAATTCTCTTCGAAATATCTGATTCATTTACATTCGAGCGATGTGAGTGAATGAATATTTGCATTCCTTTATTTTTTTTGTAGTAAGAAAGTAAATATATTTGAAAGTCTTTCCACAGGAGAGAACCACCAATTTGCGTTATTTGGTGCGATTGGATAAATTGAGTCGACCGTCCTTGTACAAAGATGATTCTCTCCCGAAGTATTCCATTATCGAGGACGATCCTGATTTTCCTAAGGGATACGCAAGGATCAGGATGTTCTCGTCGCTTTACAAACTCTGGGGAGATTACGCTAACGCCAACGGCTACTTGCGACGGTATTAAACCTTTCTTCCTTCAGCCCTAATCTTAATAATAATTTTAACACTTTTTAACAGCGATAAAATACAGAGTAGATATGTCTCACTTTTGGCACGAGCCGCCTCTTCGGATCTACCGAATTCTCCGGCGTACCTTGATGAGGCCATCCTCTGCGCTTCTCCCGGTAAAGTCGTCGATCCGTCCACGCTTCAAAGGATCCTGAAAATCCCTACGGAGAGGCACGTCTATTACGGGTCGAGTAAATATGATTAAAATCGTTGCGTTTCGGTTTGTTTGTTTCGTTTTTCTTCATTCAGTTCTATTTTTTTTTTCTGTTCAGATGGAAATGCGCCTCGATTTCCGGATCCGCGCGATTTCCGGCTCGCAATTGTCGACGAGCCGACCGGCATCCGGATCAGGATCGAATTCCTCTCCCCCGCCCTTTCATCCCTCGCCATGGATGTAACTATCTTAATCGGAATCGAAGCGGATTCCTGGCCCGTTTCCAGCGATTTCCCCACTAGAATCTCGTTAGGCCATTCGGATTCATTACTCTACCAATTAACCGCACAAACGGTAAGTCTCACCACCGCATATCCCATTAACAATAATCTAATTTATTATGTATACAATTTGATATTCAAATTTATGTTTTAAGTTAACAATATTTTCCACAAAAATTTGTCAATTTCTTCATTTAACACAAACAAACAATATAGTTTTGAATATTTGATTATAAACTTGCATTAATCTATTAAAAATATGGTGAATTTTCAAGATTCAAAAATAGTGCAAAATGTTAAATTGATAAAGAAATATTCCACAAATTGTTTAGAAAATTTATTTAATATTTCATTAATATATTGAAAAATCCTATTAAAAAATTTTGACAAAACGAAAATCTTTGAACTCAAAAATTTAAACTTGTTTTAGTTTCAATTTTGTAACATTAAATTTTAATATCTTAATAAATCTTCTAAGTTCCAAAATAAGAGTGCAAATGTTAAACATCCGGACTCGCTCTATGTGAGATATAGCTCTAATTTGTATTTTAATTCTTTAAATATGAATTGGATTATAAAAATTTGGTACTTAAAATCAAATTGAAATTGGACATGATAACTTATTTAATAATTATTACATATTAAAATGTGTACTAAACCACATTCAGTGAATGTTCGTCAATGATAAGTCAACATTATTTTTAGAATTATCTTGTTTAAATATACACTAACTAATATCACGAACAAATGTTTACCAAAAACATTATGTTTCACAAAAATATGTCGATTTCTTCACTGATCTAATTAATTTAACATCGTCGATATTTGAGTTTTATTTATTGTGTTTAAAGATTAGACAAAAAGACACAATATAGTTTTAAATATTTGAGTATAAACTTGGATTAATAAATACAGTGAAACATTTCGCTTAACGAGCAAATTGAATTGTACGAAAAATTACTCGCTTAACGTTGCTTGTTTCGCATAACGAGTGACGATGAGAAGAGAAGTCCCGGATTGCGCGCCTGCTACATCATTTTTAAAACTTGTTCGAATTTCTTTGTCTTTGTTTAAAGCAGACTATACTGTAATATAATTTGTGTTTGCTGTAAATGCAGACCTCCACCAAATCCTCGAATTGATACAAGTAATAAACAATTGATACATTGATAAATTGATAGAAATATAAACTCATTGCACCATGTGTGAATTGGAAAACAGTTCCTATTGTTAGTAGTCATTCTAGTTGCATCTTAGTGTTGTTTGTGATCACAAAATTTCCAAAATTGTGTTTAGACATGTTGTTTGTGATTTTTTTGTGCAAAATTTAATAACACTGACATGTCTCCGAATAAAAAGCTAAATAATAAAATCAACCATAGATATGCAAAGCAAAATCATGAAAAATCGAGACCATGTTATACTTTTTTCTCCGGCATGGAACGCATTAACGTAATTTACATTAGTTTAAATGGGAAAACGTGTTTCACTATACGAGTATTTCACTATACGAGCAAATATCCGGAAATTTTGGAACCAAAAAAGTATTAGAAACTAGTAATGTACTATCGAAATAATTACAATCACATTCAATAACCTTTTAACAACGTGAGGTGAATTATTGTATGCCGTTATTGTAGTAATCCACAGATTTTGTATCAACAAATTGTCGCACTGTATTTATTACTTTAAAACTCAAGTTTTGAACAAAACCTATGCCTCATACAGTTGTTTAGAATTAAGAGAAGGTGATAATCAATTGTCGAAATGTCAGGAAAATAAGAAGGATTATTTCCCAGGTCACTTTTTCGGTATGAGCATTGCTTATATTCGTGCTATTCTTCACTTTTGATTGATCAAAGAAGGCTGTTTATAGTTGCTGAAGCTGTTTACAATAAAACACAGCATTGGTGGTTTGATCCGTTTCTAAAAACTCATAATGGACAATTCCGACTACTCTCCGCCAAATACACAATAAAATCTTTTTTTGGATGCAAGGAAGTCTTTGGTGTAGTATTAAATCAGTTGGTAAAATCCATTGATTAGAACACTTAGAATTAGAGTACAGTAACCACTTTTCGTAAAGTCAAGTTAACAACTGATCAATAAAAAAATACATTTTTATTGCGTTATAAAATACATAACTTTCACGCTTTCTCTATCTGGTAAACGTATAAACGAATGGTTTCATCACTCAGATTGAATAAAGTTATATTTGTTTCAAATTACAATTATTTTTAAGTATGAATTAAACAATTAGCGCCAAATTTTAATTGATTCTTTTTGTTTACCTGATATTTACTAAATTTTATATTCATGTAATCCAAATATATTTTAGAGAATCTTCTTAACTATAATTTCCATTCATTACATTGATTTTTGTAATTTTACATCAACATACTGATACATGTACGTTTTAGAAATAAATGTAATAAAAGTTTGAAATAATTATATTACTTTCACATTTACTTTTATATAATTAAAGAATATTCATTTTATTATAATATATAATTCAATACATCAATTTCTTCCGTGTGGAGAATATACATGTATATGCAATAATTTGCAGTTATGGGATCAGTAAAAGTTTTCCTTTCACTGCAAATTTTTCGTAACCAACATTTATACACCTTTCTATTTTCCACTTATAAAAATTTAGCGCATCACTTATTTCACATTTGCAAATTCTTTATCATTCACTTTATAACATTCCAATAGTTACTTCATATTTAATACAAATATCTTGATTATTTATCAATAACGAATTCGTGTCTTTTGTTGTTAATAATTAATTAATTTTAATATAAAATCATAGAACTAAAGGTAAAATTAACAGGGACTTTATTTGGTTGGTTTTGGAGTGCAATCATCGGCGTGGCAAATGCGAGTTCCAGCAGCTGAAGAAACGATTCTGAAGAACTACAGTCCCAACAGCACAATTCACAGTATACTGAAACTTCTGAAAATCACTCTCGATGAAATCTACGAAGAAAGTTCCAGGCATCAAAAATATCAAGTATCAATCAACTACGAATTTAATTAACAGTTTTTAAAAGAAATTCAATTTTACAGTTAGCGTACAAAATATTAAACGGTTATATCTTGAAGACGGCCCTCTTCTACGAGCTGGAAAAAGATCTTGATGGTCCAACAGTCACTTTACTAAATTGGTCACCAAAATCGTTATCCACTCACGTCCTTAAGATTTTCGATAACATCATTTCATCGTTGAGGAATCAAAAACTTTCCAACTACTTCTTCCCCGCCACCAATCTGATAGGAAACCCCGGTCATTTGTGCGAAGACGATTACATTTACGAATCCAAAAGGATTTTGATACATTTAGTTAAACTGCAAGATATGAGTTTAACGCATATTGCTGAGAGAAGTATAAGCTTAGCGCAGGAGTTGGAATCTTCGTTGTTGCATAAATGGAAGGAGCTTATTGATGGTTTACTACCACCAGCTTCGACGCGAGGAAGAAGGTTTTGTCTTATAGGGAAGACCAAACGTGTAGCTTATACTCAATACACTGGGAGGCAGTTGGAGTATATAGCTTTGATCCTTAAAAATGCTTTAATTGCTAAGAAAAGTATTCTAAAAGTAAGTCAATTAATTAAATTATATTTATAATCAATATTAATAGATTTATTACAGCCTTTGGATGAGACTTGGGAAGGCTATCCTCCGGATACCAAAAAGGATGATTTGAACACTACAGAAGATTTAGTATACATAATACTAATAATAATAGAGCAAGCGAAGGATCATTTCCTGAAAGTCAATACAAACGAAAAGTTTAAATTGAAACTAAAACTACATTTTGATTCGACTATAATGAAATTAGTGGATCTGATCAGACGTAGCGATGAAACTATTTTGGACGATTTAGATTTCGTTAAGGTTACGTTGAAATGGCTTTACCGAGTTTTGGATCAAAACAAGAGACTTCTATCACCAATCCTGAGGCCGTATCTCAATACTCTTTTTATTTCATCACATGGAAACTCTTGGTTTCTGGAGAGTTTTAAAGAGAGAACGCGAGGAGATGAAATTGTATCCCTTGGGATATTTTCCGAGTTGGTTAATAAAGAGAAGATTACACCAGCTGAAGGATTGATAGAGTCTATTAACAAGAGATGGTCGTGGGCTAAAGACATGTTGACTTTGGTGGAAAGGCAGAGATTGAGGGTTGTTTTTGTTGAAGGTAGAGGAAAGATTGGAAGGCATTTGATGTCGGTTCCGAACGATTTCAAAGCTAAAGCCATTGCTGAAGATGAAAGCTACAATTTGAATACGTTACCTAAAAAAAGCTATTTTTGCACTCTACTAAAAAATGGTAAATTTTTGTTAATTATTACTTTAGTTAATTTAATAATTTATTGTTTTTTTTTTCAGATTTGGAAAGCTCTCAAATGCGAATCCCTTGGCATTGCATTTTAAGAGATAACAGTCCTTTGACTAAGATGTTCAACAAGCAGCATAGATTTGGGGATCATAGATGTGGAGGAGATATAGTGGAAACTCTGATGTCGATGCAGAAATTGAATTTGTTGCAGGACGTTTCTTCGATTCTTCCTCAGGAAGATCGTTTGCAGCTTCTGGAGGTTGTGCAAAAACTGTCGAGGAAGAACGGCAATCCAAGGAGGAGGGCTCAGACTTTGCCTAATTATAGCAAACAGGACAATAATCAGAAATACACTAGGAAAGAGGAGAGCGCAGGGATCAGAACGAGCAAAGAAGGATTCGTTTTGAAAACTTTACAATTAGATCCGAGCAGTCTGATTCAAAGCTGCAGAGATGTCAGGATGAAAGATGACGGATCTTACGATAGGAAAGTGAGGATAGTGCATAGACAATCCTTTAAATATTAGTAATTACTTTACATGTTTATATTTAAACTGTGTGATAAGATTTTAATATGCAAATAATGATTGTGTGACGTAACCAAAGCATGATAATCTTAACTAAATAAAGATAACAAGATAATTAACTTGTCTTTTTATACTTTAATAATTATTAGAATTTATAAGTGCATAAGTAACAATGAATTCTTTTTGAAGTTTTGCACTCAATAATTAATTAGTTGAGATAATTGATTAAAAGAAGACGACAGAGAGAAACAGTTGTTTCATGATTCAATAAAGGCACATCAATAAAAGTTTACCTCATAATAATTGCATTACCTTCCTTTTTTCCTATTCTTTAAGTCAAGGACGTTTCTCTTATTACAAACCCTGTAAACAATTGCTGAAAACACAATGTGTTTATTTCTGAAATTTATGATAAATTAACCGAGCAAATTCATTGGTACATATTGTAATTTGTTGCGGATTCGCCGTAATTGACAGATACCGAAATAATCGCTTTCATTGGATAATCAAAAAAAAAACACGGTAATTTACGGAATTCGGATTATTTACGATCATTTTCACTGTCAGTTGGGATGATGAAAATAGTTCAACAGTTGCTGGTAATTAAGAATGTCAATGAACATGGAAATATGGTGGAGCCATTTATTCGGGCGAAAACCGCGCGAACGAATTGGAAATTCCGAAACCCAAGGGTTTCTCCTGCGCGAACCAATTCCAACTACAGTTAATTCCCACGAAACATACATAATTTATTTATTTCTTTAGACTCAATTTGAATATTGTAATTGTAAAGTTTGTTTTATCATTTTTTTTCTACTGCGCACAATATTTGGAATTCAAATATAATTTGAAGTAAACTAATGAAACAAATCTATACACCTATTTGTAGTTGGAAAATAAGTTTTCTTTACAAATTGATCCTTACATAATTGGCGTTATACCTTTGGTAAAACGCATTCGTGCATATAGCTAGGTCCTTCAGCCAAGTGAAAAATGCATCGTTCTACGATTCCTAACAACGTTGCAAATACCTGTAAAAGTTTGAAATCAATAGTTGTTAAACGAACTCAACAAATATATTCAATTAATGAAACATTTGTAAGTTGCAATTGGAAAAGAAGAATTTGCTTCTTAAATTAACAATTTCTATGAAATAGTTAATTAGAAATCAGTACTTGTTAAACTAATTGAAGAATTATATTCAATCAATGAAGCATTTATAAGCTGCAGTTGAAAAATTTAAATTTGATCCTTAAATAATTGGCGATTTTTTTTTACTGAAAAGCATTGATGCATAGAACTAGGACTTTTAGACAAGTGAAAAATTCATCGTCCAACGATTTCTAACAACTTCGATCATAAACACGTTGCAAATACCTATAAGAGTTTGTTATTTTTAAGAATATACGTGAAATAGTTAGAAATCAATAGTTGTTAAACTAACTCAACAAATCTATTTAATTAATGAAACATCTGTAAGCTGCAATTGAATAAAAATAATTTGCTTCTTAAATAAACAATTTCTCATTGCTCAATGGAATAGTTAATTAGAAATCAGTACTTGTTAAACTAATTGAAGAATTCTATTCAATCAATGAAACATTTATAAGCTGTTGGAAAATTAAAATTTTATCCTTAAATAATTGGCGATTTTTTTTACTGAAAAGCATTGATGCATAGAACTAGGACTTTTAGACAAGTGAAAAATTCATCGTCCAACGATTTCTAACAACTTCGATCATAAACACGTTGCAAATACTTATAAGAGTTTGAGATTTTTAAAAATGAAATGTAAAATAGTTAGAAATCAATAGTTGATAAACTAATTCAATAAATCTATTCAATTAATGAAACATTTGTAAGTTGCAACTGGAAAAGAAGAATTTGCTTCTTAAATAGACAATTTGTCATTGCTAAATGAAATAGTTAATTAGAAATCAATACTTGTTAAACTAATTGAAGAATTCTATTTAATCAATCATTTACAAACTGAAGTAGGAAAAATTAAAATTTGATCCTTAAATAATTGGCGTTGTTTCCTTGTTGAAATGCATTAGTATATATAACTAGAGCTTTCAGCTAAGTGAAAATGCATCATCCTACGATTCTTAACGACCTATGTCATAAACACGTTGCAAATACTTACAACGGTTCGGGATCTTTGTGGTCGAAACGTGCGGTTTCGATGCGGACTAATTCCATTATTTGATCAGATTATACGGAGAACCCTTCCTATAAGAAACCAGTTGTAATCTCAAATTGTTTGTTTAATTAATTATAGATACAGTTGCAGTCCAAGTTCTCGCAAAAAAAACGTTAAATTCCAAGAAAGGGTTATCTCTGAATTGACCCTAAATCAACATTATTCCTAGGAAATCAATAATTGTTAAATGAAATATCTGTTGCATTCTCATAAAATAAAAAAATAGTACAAATTTATTGAATAATGTAATAAAAATTATAAGTTTTGATAATGATAGGTTACGTTATGTCAGGTTAAGTTAATTTGGTAACTGTCAAAATGTTATGTTTTAATTAAAATTGACGTTATTTATAACGTCTAGAATCTTTATTTTGATATAATTCCAAAAAAATAAATTTAGATATTTTATTTTAACGTACAAAGGTATAATTTAGTCCATGCATAATCTGTTTGTTTACTTCTAACATTCGATGTTTGAAGGTTTTGATAGGATTACCATACGTTAATTACGTTTTCATAACATTATATATGGATATTGATATCCTATCACTGTCAATCTCGTGCTTCATATTTCATACATTATTACTTTCGCTACGTCGCACTGCAACATTTGACGTAAGCGTACGGATATAGCGATAAACTTGAGCCCTACACAATAGAAGATGTTTGATCTTCAAATCCAACAAAAAAAAATAGATATACCCAAAAATCACATACATTTATTTGATAAACTTGAGTTCTCTTGATATATTAAAAATCATATAATATAGTCGATATATTAAAAATCACATGCATTTTTCGACAAACTTGACATTTATTTTCAAGGTTCATTAATAAAATATGTTTTTATGTTATAAAGCATCAAAAATATTATTTCTCAATAAATGTGTTTCTTGTTAAAATTGGTGGATTTTTATTACTTAGTCAAATACATTATTTGATTAACTTGAGTTTTACATGCATCAAAAGATGTTCCAACAAAAAATGTTTTTCATAAGTTAATCAAATTTGATAAACTTGAGCTTTAAAAGAAGGTGTTTCATGAAACTTCCAAATATGTTATTCGATATTTCCAAAAAAAAATGTATGCTTTAATGTTGGTTTACAGTAACTGTGGGACAACGGTCAATGTAGCAATTAAATTCGTAATGTTGGGGTTTCGGTGTGTAAACGCGCACGAAACTTGCAAACGTATTCCCATTTCGCAGCGAAACTTTGCGCAATAAAAGCTTTGAAATTTGCGCATTATAAGGACAGTTTGTCAATGGTTAAAGCTTTTGAAGACATGCACACGTACGTCGTCTACGCTGGAATTGTTAAATCAAACGTATTTATGGCTTTCGGCTTTTGGCACGCCGGACGATCCAAGCATCATAAAGGATAATTGCTCAGGATGCCTGTGAGCCTGCAATTTGCTGTAATTTATAGGTGTCTTTGTTACAATACTACTTAATTTTGCACTTATTTGGAAAGCAGTTTACATCTATAATTTGTAGATAACTAAGAATAGGTATAAATACACCACTGAAGTGGTCAAACTGCGAGCCGCATGCGGCTCATCAAAAGTTTTGTTGTGGCTCAAATAGATTATCTTTTTAATTTTTTATACCAAAAACTTTAGTTGTGACTCCCAACATTTGCACGTAGAAATTGGGTAAAGAACCAATACATGTTGTAAAGTGTAAATTTTAGTCGAAATTTATGATTCATTTAAAGTAATTACAAAAAGTGTACAAAGATTTGATTGGAAACGGATTAAGTTAAATATTCTTTAAAAAAAATAATACTTTAAGATTAATTTTAAAAATACTAAAAAAAATGAATAATTTTTTAAATAAAATATTATTTCATTGAGAAAATTAATTAGTTAAGCACAATTATGCAACCATATACAAAATAATGGACATCACTTTAATCGATTTTCTTTTGTTTATATAACGTGTATGAAACCCTTTTGATCCGCAACTGCATTAATCTTAGAGCAAGTCAACTGCGCCTCATCGATTTATATACATCTCGCAATAACTTTTCATTCCACCCAAGGAAATTGCTTTATTTTATATCTTGTTTATTGAACATATAAAGGCACATATTTCCTGTACTATTTTATGATCACTTCTATCGTTTCCTCGAAAGTTTCAGAATTTTAATTATCTCACTTTATTGATTCTTGTAATTTTACTTTTTTATATAGAAACTTAGTTCTCTAAATAAAAATAAAGTAAAATAAAAAAAAAACGATAATAAAAATAACTTGATAATTTATAAGATTTTCCAATTTCCTTTTTTATTTGTTAGTCCAAAATATGTTTATAGAAACCAGATAATCAAAAAAAAATATTGTGAACATATTAAATATTTATTGAGAAATCAAAAGGAAATGAAATGGAATACAAAATACGTATGAATCAAAATATTTTGCTGAATTAAGGAATTGTTGTTTTTGATGTTACCGCAGTGCAAATAAGAAAGTAAAATAAATATTTGTTTTTATATATTTTGCTGGTACAAATTGTTTATTTGTTTTACCAACCTAAAATCAATTAATTTTATTGAATGTGAATATTTTTAGTTGTTGGTAACAATTAACAAATCATTTTATAAACAACAGTACTTCACATAGTGCGGTTTCGATTTGAAAATTACAAAACAAACTAAATTTTAATTGAAAAAAAAAATAAAAATTAATTAAAGAAGATAATAATACACAAGATTTTTTTTCTCTGATTATATAAAGTCAAGTTTCTTTTTGTGCGATTTATTTGTATATGTATTTAGTCCTGTTTCAAACAGTCCAGAATATTATGGGAACGATTACCCGGACTGTGCGAGATTTTGCTGTATTATGTTATGGAATTCATTGAAAAAGCTATGTTAAAAAATGCTGCTTCGATCAGTGCGGATTCACTATAATACGGTTTGAAAATTTTAAAATAAACTAAATTTAAATTTAGAAAAATAACAATAAATTATATACAAGATTTTTTTTTATATATTTTGTTTTCTTCCTTTATATAGTAAGTTTCTTTTTAGAAAACTACATAAATCTTATGTTGGTAACCATTAATAAATATATTTATATCCCACAATACCTCACATAGTGCGGCTTCGATCAGTACGGATTCATTATAATACGGTTTAAAAATTAATTCAGTAAACTAAAAATTGTTTCTAAAAAAATAGTACAATAAATTATTATTTTATTTATTTTAGTCCGATTTCAAACAGACCTGAATATTAAGGTTATGTTACTAAATGAAATAGAACTGTCAGCTTTCTGGTATAAATCGTTTATTTCTATCAACTGTAACAACAAAAAAATACTAGATTGTAATACTGTAACTATGATTTAAAAATCAATGTATTTGCAAAAATCTTCTAATTATTTATTTTTTACTTTATTAATTAAATAAAAAGGTATTCACTAATGAATCTGCTGATTAATTAAACGTGATGTGGAAAAAAAAATGACGAAATAAAAATAAATTGGGTTAATTTAACAAAAATAATTGCGTTTTTTGTATGTTTTTGAAATTAAGGAATGAAATCAATGAACTGTCAAACTGTAATAATATTACTATTTTCTTTAATTATTTTAATATGCACATTTTTAGATGTTGATAATTATTAGCAAATTTAATTATGAATGTAGAAGGATAAGTTTATCAATAAAATGACACAAACTGTCACTTTTCTCTTATAAATTATAGAAAAAAAAAAGATATACAGGTATCCTTCGACTTACGAACAAGTTCCGTTGCAAAAGGGTTGTTCGTAAGTCAGGGAATTTAAAAAATTTCAAAATATACTTATCTTTATCATGTTTTTTACTGACTGCATACTGACTGACTGCATACATTTGAAAATATGAACAATAAATAAACAATAAATAAGCAAAATACTTACTTACAAATGCTTTTCAATGTAGACATCACAATTATTTAAGAAAAAACGACAAAAGACACAAAACAGATAGTACAAAAAAGATAGTACATTTCCAAATATATAATATTTTATTAAAGAAAATATCAATTTTTGTTGTGACAGTTAAGTTTCTTATCACTATATATCTCCTTGTAACAAGTTAGAGCTTTTAAAATTTTGTTTGTAAGTGCGGGAGTTCGTAAGTCGGGGAATACCGTAATTTGAATATGTATGGTTGAAATAGATGAAATGGTGGAAACAAATAAATAATTTAAAAAAAATAATAAATTTTCTTTAATTTGAATTTTTGTAGTAACTATAAATAACACTAATTATGTTTAAATGTATGTAGTTGTTTGAGAAGGCTATGTTAACAAAAATAATTGATATAGAACTGTCAGTTTGCTGCCAATCCTGTCACGTTGGGGGTTGTGAACTGTGTGTATATGTATACCAACTATCCAAGGAGAAATTCCTAGATGAATCCTACGGTGGTCTGCACGCCACTGTGCAGAGACGCGTCGTGTCCGTGTGTGCGTGTAATCAATGGCGTCTGGCGGCGTCGCAGTTGGTCACAGCATCCTGAGGTGTGTCGACGACGGGAATCATCCCGAGATATTCTCTGAAACTTAACCCCCCGACGCAGCAGTTCCGAAGGCAAGGGGGTGGCAAAACCATCGCGACTCCATTCCCACCACCCCCGTAAATAAAAAGAAAAAAAATATAACACTAAATACGACACCATCATCGAAACGAACCAGCAGCAATAACAACTAAAACAAAAAATAATACATTGTTTCCAAACTAACCATCAAGTGCAAGCAAGACCTCTGACACAGCCACACACCACAACACTCAAAGAGCGTACAGAAGTATAGGATGATAATTTGAACATCAACAACAGGTAAGAAAATTATAACCATTTGATATTAAAACCGAACATTTATATATTCTTATTCCCATCTTCGCATTCTATCTAATGCAAAGCCGTTATTTGTATGGGGAAACAGAAAACGCAGATGTTATGCAGCACACATACACACGCGGATCAAAAGACTTATTATATTTTTATAATCCAGTTTCAAATTTCCTTTACGTTGCGACACATTTTATTTTAATTGAAAACCACCGCTTATTATTATATTTTTTTTGCTGAGGGGTGGCGAAATTTGCGTTTAGTTAATTAGTCTCATTAATATGATTCTCGCTCGGCGGATTGCGTAATTGGCGATCCGTTCGGTATGTGATATGATGCGGTCTATTCCGGTTTTGGTTCCGGAATTATCAAATGAAATCATGCAGTGGACCTCGTATTATCGATTAACGATTTAATTTTAACAAAGAGTTAATAACAATGACAATATTATATATAAATACTAATTATGTATGTGTTTAGTAGTTTAGTTTTTTTTTTAATATTAATGGACATTTTATTGGAATTTTCATTTTATGTTCATACGCCTATTATGATGATAACAACACATACATTTCAATAAACCAACAGGTCTTTGGCATAATGTCATGTAATCAATTAAAAAATTATACGAGAAGTACTTTTATCTCAAATAGTATTTATTATTAAAAACGGATTGATTTAATCTCATTATATAAGAATTTAAGGTGAAAAATTGAACAAAAATTAATATTTTTATGAATGAAACCAAACTTGATACATTTATTTCAAATGTATTTAGTTAATTTCATTGATTCTTTCATTTCTTTGATATAAGAAAGTAATATAGTTTATTTAATATCTGAAATTAAAAACATATTATTTATTTATTCAATATATATAGTGAAATAAAATCTTTACTTTTTAAATTGAGAACTTGACGATTCAAATGTTACATTTCTTCATAAAACTTCTTAATAAATTCTCTTTAATTACTATGAGTAATTGAAGTACTTTTTTTGTATACATTATATAATATTTTATAAATAATTGAGAATAGTATTTAATAAATTAATTTATTTTAAAAAATAGGTTTATTTGCAATTATTAAGATTTGTTTACTGTGTTATTAAAGAAATTCTTGTAAATTATATAATTTCCAATATTTTTTTACACGTTTCACTAAAAAGTCTTCGTTTAAATTGTTGAATCACATTATTAATTTCAATATTCTTGTGATAATTATTTTCTTTGTGAAATGACTTTAGGAAGATTATCATTATTAAATAATTATATTACTTTTGAAAAGAAAAACGAGTGTAATTAGTAATAATAAGTTGATATAGTAATAAGTGTTCACTAATTTTTCAATGTATATACAAAGTTATTTTTTTTGGAATGAATGTAAAAATGCTTGAATTGAAATACTTAATTTAATAATTATATATTTGATGTACATATTTCAACTTATAGACATATTTCTTTTTGTAAGTAATTCAAATTTGAAAACCGTAAAAAGTACATTTAAATACCAATAAAATATATTTTGAATCATGAATAATACGTATTCAAACATCTACTTTAAAATTGTTATTTTTTTCTTGTTCGAATCTGAATATTATCCAAAATTCTCTTGAAGAATGGATAAAAAAAACTTACCCCATGCTGCAAGTATAGAATCATATAGGTATACATTACTCATGTCATCTATTTTTCGATCCTTTTTTCGACTAGGCCTCATATTTATCACAAGAGTAATTCTCTTTTGCTTGAAAGGAAGTAAGGAAGGATGGGCGGCTTTCATTGCTTTCTTGCGTGCGACCTGGCATCGGCTCATCACTTTATTCGCATTCATTTGAGTCTAACCATGTACCATGTTGGTCTTCCTTTAGGATATTACTAGCATTTCTTTTATATCCGATACTAGACTTTTATGTAACCCAATAATCCCAATAACCCTTTTCTCCTTTAGAAAATAATTGAAGAAAAAAAAATCCCACATATTTTTGTAATACTCATTTTGTTAAAAGCTCAACCATATTATTTATGGATTTACATACAAAGGAAAAATTGATATCAATGAAATCAAAATAGATACATTTACAAAATACTTCAACTAGTTTATAAAAAAATATTTGTATTCATATGTAAACTAAAATCTATGGATTTATTATTAGTATAGTAGAACCTGTTTTTGTGCGGTCCTTTTTATGCGATTTTTTATGCGGTATACTGTTAGTTAATTTTGAATCAATTCATCACAAGAAGAATTAACACGAGTAGCAGTGAATTATGTACGTGCAAATTTCTCCATATGTACAATGACAAATTAAATGTTTTTAAAATGTTATAAATATATTATACAAACTTATTTGTATGAATTTATGAAAATTTCTAATTTTGTTTTTGTACGATTTTTTTATGCGGTCTCTATCTACCGGACAAAAAAGGTTTTACTATATATAAGATTTATATAATATTTTAAACAAATTTGATGAAAAAAACAACTAATATTCTAACAGATTTGTATTTTTTTTTAAGCGATTCTAATAAATCAGAAATCAGTTGATGCTCATATTTTTTTCTGAAAACATGTACAAATTGAAAGAATGTAATGAATTCCCAATATTGCAGTATTGCATTTCGAAGATTCAATAAAGCTGTAGCTTCTTCAGCAAAATTGCGACTAATGGAGATTAGTTCACTGCGAAAAATGAAAACAAATTTAATAAAGCCTCTTCTGTTCCCAATCATAACAATTGCAGAATCTTCATTTATAGTAAAAACTGTCTATTTATTTTTATCTCTTATTTTTTTGTTGAAACGCGTTTCTACCCTCCTTGTTGCAAAACGAATTGTGGTCAGTTGCTTGAAAGTTTGTTTACTCGAGCGATTATTTCATGAAAATTTATTAAAACCACTTTTAATACACTCAACCGGAGTTTGTTTAAGCCCTTTCGTAATTATATTCATATTAATCCAGGACTGGGACCAAGTGTAAATGGGACGTCCGGTTTGCCAAAACTGTCCCTTTTTTTTTCACATCTTCTTCTCTGCGTGTGTGTATATTCCCACCGATGAATGTAAATTAATTCATTAAATTAAATTAGTTTCTCTACTATCTCTATTTTTTTTTCTTTAATTTTGAATGCACGCTAGTTTTTTATATGTAAATAAGTAAATTTCAAAGGACATTCATACAATTTTGTATCTTTCTTACTCTGAAAGTACTTCTACCCAATTTTAATCAGTTTACATCAAAATGTTAGTTTTAACTACAAAAAGACTCAGTTATGTATAAAATTAAACTTTTGTTATTAACGTAATATTAAATTTTAGGATAATTTTGGTAAATTTTTAATAAAAATTTTATTTTGTTACGTTTTTTAACTTTTTTGTATATAAAACCATAAATAATTAAAAGCTACAAACAAGTAAATATATTTGACGTATAGGATTATTTTGGTAAATTTTTAATCAAAATTGGATTTCGCTACATTTGTTTTTTTTTTTTGTATACAAAACCATAAATAATTAAAGTTCTTGTGTCTTGAACAGCAAGATACAAAAAAATCTAAATCAATACTGTGTTTTCTCTTGCAATTTACTCATTGATGCATGGCTTGAATGACGTGATCGATAAGTTTCTGGAAGTATTTCTTTGCTGCAAAGGGGTTTGCAGACGCACAGATTGGCAGATGGAATTGGTAGATAGAAACGGCACATGTTTCGTTTCTTAGGTGATGCGTTTAAAGATAGGAAATGAATCCTAAAATGTTACTTTCTTTATATAGACTTTATTAAAGAAACATTACATAATAAACGAGGGATATGTGTCAATTTTAGGTTTGTTCATACATAATGATGTGTCCATTCTTTATTTTCTTTTTACTATTTTATACATTGCTACTAGTAGTTTTGTAGCGTAAATATTCAAATGAGTATACAGTGGAACCTCGCATAACGAGCATTTGTATGTAAGAAAAATGACTCGCTAAACGAGCGACATTTCGCATAACGAGTGACGATGAGAAGACAATCCGGGACTTGATTGCGAGCTTGATACATCATTTTTAAAACTTGTGTACACATATGTGAATTTTAGAACATGTTTCACTATACGAGTAAAAATACGGAAATTTTGGAACGGATTAAAATCGTTAAGCGAGGTTTCACTGTACTTATTGAATTGATTGATTGAATATATTAGGAAAATACTATTATCATTCATAAAATGAGTTTTTCATTTCATGTCGTCTTTTTAATCATTATTTAGTTACCTAAACTACGAATACCAATTAATATCTTTAGAGTGTGTTCTAAATGTTATAATTGCAAATCTGACAAATCTGTCTCATATTTAATTCTTTTGATTTAACATTGAAATATTTTAACTTTAAATTTTGCTAAGAAAATTATCAAAGGGTAAAACTCTTTGATGATTTTGATATCTACCTTTGATAATTGTATTTTTTTTGTTGGGGGAAATGATAAAATCAAATCAGAACAGAAAACTAATTTCAACTTATAGCAAAAAAAAAGAACTGGTTGGTTATTTACGCGTTTCGCCCCAAAGATTTTCATTGCAGAATCCAGCAAATCCTGACAGACAGGGCCGATGACTAGGCACAGACTTTAGAGATTCAGGTCCAAATCCGGAGTAATCCGTATCCTCATCACCATCTATCGACACACAAATGCACCGAGTTCCAAGCATATCCAACATACATTGGTCATAACCGCAATATTCCAAATATGCACGAACAAAATGCACATTTTCATACAGCTAATGTTTACATCAATGAAATATTACATTATAATATGGAATCATGAATGTTTAACAAAAAAAATAATTCGTTACTGTTGCACCAAAATTTTTCAGGATTTTCAATTTTTGAAAACTATAGGCATTCAAAACAAATTTAATGATGTTCGCAGTTGAATATTAAAAAAAATCATTAGTTTATTGTTACAACAATAACACATTTTTCATAGCTTTCTATTTTTAAATC